TTTTACAGGTCGAATTATATGTAATTTATTTTATAAAATTACTTAAATGTCATTAAATTTATTTTTATATTTATGATATTAAAAGATAAAAAAACTAACAGCTGCAGCTATCCGTCAACACTCCTAAACTAAGTCTCAATAAACTGAAATTAATTAGTTTATAAACCCATATTTTAAATATCATAATTGTTTATTTTAAAAAAATTATATAAATCAATTAAACTAAATATAAATTTGATGACCTTAACAATTTCATTAATTGATGGGCATAATCAGACCCCTACGGGTGATGTAAACTGTAGAGATGTCAAAATTTTGTGGAGTAATATAAAAGGTGTTCAATAAAATTTAAAGGGTATTTACTTTAGAAATAAATTGTTCTCTTATAAATTTAAAGTTTTATTTGAGAAAAGTTTAAAAATTAGCTTTTAAAATAACTTTTAAACAAAATTTTAGATAATTTTAGTGTGTAATTTTTTTAAAATTTATTTGAAAGTCACTTTAAAAGGTAATTTTTGAATTTTTATAATAAAATTTTAAATTTATAAAAATAAAAATTTATTTTTAAGTAAGTTTATTTTTTAACTTTTCCTAAACACCTTTATAGACTAACCTTTAACTGTCGTTTGGTAGAAAGAATAGTAGCTATTCTTTTACATCAAATTACGCAAATAACGTTTGGCTAAAAAAGAAAGAAAAATTATTAGTTTTTTTTTTTTCAATACACTTACTGATATTTATTAGTTTAGTTATTAAATTTTATAACTTTAATTTTTTTTATCTTTATTTTAAATTCAAAAATAATAATTTATTATTAAATAGGTTTTAAGATATATTAAATTAAAATATATATCAATTATTATTTAAAAAGAGAATTATGTAAATAAGGTAATTACAAGAAATGTGTATTTCTAAGCAAGTGATGTATAATACACTAGATTTAATATTCAAGTTTTGTGATTAGTATTTAAAAAAAATTAATTTTTAAATTATATTAAGTGTAAAATTTGTTTTAAAATATATAAAAATTTACCCAAAAGAAGAAAAAAACTTATATATAAAAGACACCCGAACATTCAAACTAAAAATAAAAACAACATTTTACATTTATCAATGATCTTCTAATGAATTATGAACCAACAGAGAATACTACAAGAGTCCTCAACTGGTTAGAATTCATTTTTTTCGTTTCTCTTCTTGTAGGCGTACTTGTTTCAAGCAATTGCTTTTACATCATACATGTCAATGGGTCCAATATTCATCGCTTTTCTCTCGTTTCTATTCCCTAGAAATTTATTTCCCTAAACACAATCAAGTATGACGTGGACGTGAGCCATCCAAACCTAGTTGAAGACTTGAAGTTATAGTCAAAACTAATGTATTTTTATGATGTAGCCTTTAATATTTCCTTGATATCAAAAGAATGGATACATGTTCATGATTCTATTAATATCTTTATAGTTTTTATTAATATTTTGAAATTTTTTGTATTTAATTATTCACAATCATCATAAATTTGTATTAGTACTATAGGTACTTATTTAATGTTTTTATATTTCTTTATTTAACATTTATGGCGTTGTGCATAAATAAAATATATAAACTTTTTTCATCTTAATAAAACTATGTAGATGTTATTAAAAAAAAGCATATTAATTAAGTCTTTTATTAAATAAAAATTCTCATGTGAAATTGTGATAACCTTTTTAGTGACACATCTATCCAACTTTTTAGTTTTTTAGTGGGGACACGTTTTTCAAAGAATTGAGATTGCAATGTTATGCGTATAATTTTTTATACATTATTTTATATAATATACAATCTAATACTCAATAAATAAATATATATTTAATTTAATTTAATTTTTAAATTAAAAAATTAATTATAAAATGTCATATCCTTTTGTACTATATATTGTCAAAAAAGCATTGCATGTTCATCAATTTCATAATTAATAAGAATAACATTTATCTACACCTTCCACCATGAAATACTTATCCTTTTTTTTTTCTATCAAATTCACTGTCATTTTTACATTTTTCATTACGGTTAAAATTTTCTTTTTCATTTCAACCTCATAGGCAAAGCATACATTTAATAATTTACATCAACAATAAAATATTTTCTTTCACACTTATCTCAGTAATAATTAAAAGTAGTATTGACAAAATATAAATTAATGATAACAATTATTTCCTTAATTTAATTATATATGCATAGTATAAAAAAATATTACTGCTAAGTTTTTATTTAATTGTTTCACCTAATAAATTAAGTAATATTTTTATTTAATTGTTTTACTTCTTATTTCTAAAAACACTAGATGCTCTGATTCTAATTTATCGTTATTACTCTAATAACTCATTAATAAAAGAGATAGTACTTTTATTAAGGTAAATAATATAATATTTTAAGTACTAATCATTGCGATTTTAAATATTCAATGAGATTTGTTTGTAGCTGTAATTCTGTAAGTTTTTGTTGTAAACGTTTAAATACACACCCTATACTCCTAATGGTAAAAATATTTTTAATTATTTGATACAAAAAAAAATGTTTTTAAAATGGAATGATTGTAAATAAAAACAGAGCGAGTAAAGACTGTGAAAGAGAGAGGGAGTATGGATAAAAACATGCTAATAATAAGGGCCTCTCACTCAAAATCTCAATGTCTCATTCACTCGCTGCCCCGCGCTCTGCTGAGTCGGGTCTGGTGGGCCGGGGTCAGCCCCCCACCCCCAACACAACCAACTTTCAAATGGGGGTAGCTAGAAAGTTAGTTTGAGATGCCCCCAAAAAAAATGAAAACAAAGAACAAAGAGAGAAGGGTAGATGAATAATGAAATCCTACTTAATGGCCTCAGGTCCAGAAAATGACGGCCATAACTAATGACACTAACGCCTCGAGCTCGACGGTATGATTAGGTATTATTTTTTTACCCACAAATGATTGCCAATGTAGAAAAAAAAAAAAAAAAGGATACATTTTTCTAATCAATCTTACCTTTTTTTACGATCATGGAAATAAAAACAGAATAGGTAAATTAGTATTATGTGTGTATCGACAATTTTTTAGTTGCATTCCTGTTCTTTATTGTAATTTTAGTAATCCCGATTATATGGTAATATTAGCTGGTAATTCTTTTGATGG